TTCTTCACTGTTCTTTAATACTGTGCAGTATTCTAGTGTGTGAACGTACCACAATTTCTCTATACCTGGATTTGTTTATGGGTCTTTGGACTGTTTCCATCTTGTTACTTTGAATAATGATGCAAAGAATGTTAAGTGTACATACGTCCATTCATGTCTCAGATCTGATTTTCTTGGGGTGTATTCCTAGTAGTGGAATGTTGTTATGCACAGTCAAATCAGAACTGATTCATAGTTGACCCTCCAGTGGGTTTTCAGGGGCAGTTAATCAAATGAGAGGAGATTGCCTATCTTGCTCCCAGAGAGCAGTTGGTGGCTTTGAACTGCATGCCTGAGTTGACAGCAGTAAGTCCTTAACCATTAAACCACCCAAGATCTCTAGTCAGGTCATATGGGATTTCTATACGCATATTTTTTGAAGAAAAAACACCGAACTGTCTTCCATATATGGGTTGTACCATTTTACAATCCACCAGCAGTGTATTAAGAGTTCCATCTCTCAGCATCCTTGTCAACATTTATTATTTGTTGCCCTGTTAATATTTTACCTGGAAAAAAAAGAGAACACCATGAGAATTCAATCCATAGAAAACAAATTCTTTACTTCTTCTAAAAACTGAGAATTAATGAAGGCTATTTAAGGGTGGTAAATCCTGTATTAAGAGTTCACTTTAATAGTTCTTTCCATCACTTCTGTACCAATGTGGTAATAGAAGTGAGTCGATAAATTCACAAAACAGCTCATTTACAACTTCCTTGTTGTTAAAAATAAAAAAAAGTGGGAGTTAAATTCAAGCACACAGTAAAGTCCTCAATTAGAAACCAATTTAGAACCTTCTCTCAGACTTTAACTACCTTCTGCTTCCAATAATAAAGCTAAGAATACGAAGCTGTATGTTTACTGTGTATGTACATCGAGACATTAATTTGAAGTGCTTCACAGTGACTGGCACACACACACAAAAAGTTCTCAAAATTAGCACAGTTACATAAAATATGAGCAAAAATTAACAGCACAAACATGGCATTGCATGTTATTTAATTACTCTGACAGCACTTCAAGATTTATTAGTTCATTTTGAAAATATATCATCAGAGTCCAGAGAGGTTAGGTAAACTGATCAAGTTCCTAAGACAGTGAGTGGTAAAAATGGAATTAGATCGGCCCACTTCCCGTCTCCTTGTTCTTTGCACAATGTAATAGTCTCCTACATGATCAGAAACACAAAGATGGTTTACTTCACAACTCCAGTTAACAAACAGTAAGCTCTGTGCTTACTACGTTGCTGTGTACCCTCCAGTCAGAATAGACCTATAGCTGACCCTCCTGCAGGTTTTCAGAGGGAGTTAACTGAACAGAAGGAAACTGTCCAACTTTCCTGCGGAGCAGCTGGTGGATTCAAACTGCTTGGCTTCAGGACTGCAACACAGCTTCTTGCTGCTAGACAACCAGACCTCCTTAATTTCCTAATATCTTAGCAAGAAACCTATAGGATAACTGATGTTCCTAATAAGCCAAGGTAAAGTCCTAAATCAAAGAACGTAAGTTTATCTTATCTGTTAAAGAAAGGTACTCTGTATTTCATAAATATTTAAGTGCTAGCCCTTCCAAATATAAATATAGATTTCAAGTTTTTAATTCAATCTGTATACTAAACAAGGAATTTTAGAAGCTTAATTATATGAAGAATGTAGTATCAGGTCTGGAGAAAGATTCATTAACATTCTGGGTTATTCAGATAACACAACCTTGTTACCAAAAATAAAGATTTAAAACACTTGCAGATGATAAACCTAGACCAATATCCAACAACATCATGAAAAACAAAGGACTGGTGCTGTCAAGGATTTAATTTACTAAAAATCAATGCTCATGGAAGCAGCAGTCAAGAAATCAAATATCATATTGCATTGAGTAAATTTATTGTAAAGGGTCTCTTTAAAGAACAAATATACAATTTTGAGGACTAAGGTGTGCCTCACTCAAACCATGGCATTTTCAGTATCTTCATATGAATATGAATGTTAGTGAATACAGACAGAGGACTAAAGAAATGAGACTTCTGAATTGTACTGGTAATGAATACTGAAGATACCATGGACTGGCAAAAGAACAAACAAGTCTTGTCCTGGAATGTTCAAGAGCCAGAATGTACATTCCTTAGAAGCAAGGTTTGGACTTATTATTGGGAGAGGCCAGTCCCTGGAGAAAGATAGCTCATAGCTGTCCAGCAGACTTCAACTGATGGTGATCTACTAGGTTTCCAAGGCTGTATTATTTCCTTTCTCAAGGAAAAATGTCTGGTGGATCTGAACCACTGGTCTTTCAGTTAGTGCAACACATAACTCACCAGAAGGAACCATACTTGGTCAAGGAGAAGGTCAATGAAAAAAGATGACGACTCAATGAAGAGACTGACACTGTGGTTGCAGTAATTGCCAAGCAGAGCAGCAATTCCAAGGATGGTACAAGGTTAGAAAGTGTTTCATTTTGTTGTATACAAGGTCACTGACTTGATGGCACTTGCCATCATTAAAATCAACAGCATTATGGATATCAAGCAAGCATATTAAGCAAAAAAGTAATTATCCAACCAAATCATGTAACACTATATATACTGATGGCTGAAGGTGCCAGAGGAGTACAACAATCCAGAGGCATGCACAATTACTCAGCTTATATATACTGCTAGTATAGTGACCAATAGGTTGTTGGACAGTCAGAAGGGAGCCCAACAGATTACTAAGAAACAGAATAATTTCTTGCTTACTTCAAACAGTTTAAGAGTTAACTGTGCCTTTCTTCTAAGTATCACTTAGTAACCCTTTCAGAGACAGATCAGTAATTTGGAAGAACCTCTAGTGAGGTAATTCTTATGCTTGTTTCTTTCACAGCCTCCAAAATAAAAAATGTTGATAACAGAGCAAACTATATGTTGAGGTTCAATAAAAATGGAGATGGGTCTCCTCTCTTGACTCTTCAGAGATACTACCTAGAAAGGCATTATATAGAAAATGCTTTAGTTTTATTAAAACAGCTTTTTTAAATAAACCAAAGTTCAGAAACAACAAAATTTAACTCCAACTATATAGGTTTGAAAAGATGAAGATATACCTGTCAATTTAAAGGAAGAAAACAAACAAACAAACCCTCTCCCCCAAATGACACAGCCATTTAGAAGTTTGGGTTTTAAGTATCAGTGAAGACAGTCTATGCTGCTACCAGAGCTTGTCTTGACTGCTCTGAAGTAACAACACTTGAAAGCTCCTATTCTTTGAAACTAATTTAAACACACTGAATTGTTGAAAGATTAAAACCACAGTCAGCTAATTACACACTCTCTCATCTCTTATTCAGCAAATGAATCACTTTTCATTACCACTTAGCTGAAGTACATGAATTTCTGCCTAATTAGAAATGTTGTAGATGGAACATTAGCAAGAATGGAGCAGGTCAGGATATCTTTGCTGCTTCATTTTTAATTCCTAACAGTAGAGCCTGATAGGAAAGAATAGAGAAGTCATTAAATTATTTTAAATTATTTATAAAAATTACTTTGCCCAAATTATAATTATTTTTTCCCCAAATGGTCTCAAATGTCTAACAGAATGAAAAGAAAAAGCAGTTCAACATTGATTTTAATGAACATTTTAATGTTATGAATAACAGAACATTATGAATACATGGAAACAGTTTTTATCAATTTAATAAAAAAATTTTCAACAGAGTGTGGGGAGGTAATAATTTTATACCTATATCATAGTGTTTATTTTAAAAAATATTCCCAGCTTAAGGGTGAAGCAATTAATTTTGCATTCCAAACTCTAGAATCATGATTTTTATGTGAGCATAATGCAGAATTACAGCAGGAAAAAAAATTAATTTCCTTTATTTTTCAGTAAATCTTTGACTGCTACAGGTCTCCTTTAATATAATAAAACTCCTTTCTATTGAACCATAGCTTGCAAATGCCATAGTACACGCACTCAAAAGCAAAACAAATGCTGTAAAAAAAAATTATAAATCAATATTGAGCTCTAACATTTATATTTAACTTTTCAATGGATTTTTAGTCCTTTCAATACTTTTGAAAAGACATCCAGAAAACAAAAATAAATATTTTTCTCCTGTTATAGTTGCTGACTGTTCAATGAGGGCTAGAGGGATAAACACGGAAGGAAGCCTTGTCAAGTTAATCACTGCAGATAATGACTGCTAAACACAAACAAAAATACTGGAAGAGTTTTTTTTTTAAAAAAAGTTCTTTTAAAGGAAACCATACAGCAGTCCTGAGGAAAATATCTTTTCCTAGTTCTGCAGAGGATAATTATAGCAGAGTATGTGGGGGAAAATTCCATAGCTAACACCAATTTCTTAAAGAGGATTTGTTATAATAAAAATTTGGATAGTATAATAGCAGTGTTGCTGGAATATTAGCAAAAGTATATACATTCCAGTTACCTCTGATTTAGCCATAATCACATATGTATGCCTTTTTTGGACAAAAATATATATTTTTTATAAAAAACTGATCATCCAACTTTAATGATTTCATATATGGACTCCAGAGTGGTAGTAAAAGGAATGGACCCAATTATGACAAGGGGATTCAAGGACAGAAAAATCAAGTTCCTCAGGAAAAGAAAAGTATAAAATTAGAGATTCAAACACATTTATCAGCCCTATTCCAGTCTTCTCACAAATTATGATGTTAAAATGGGCTCTTCAGCTTATAAAGGCTTTTCCGTAGATTCACTACAACATTTGTGATTTATTTTCACTGGGAAAAAATGATTTTGACTGCTTCCTCTGAAGTGCCCTTGACAGTCCATATGAAATACTAGATACTTCACTTTTTATAAAACAGCTTTTTTTTTTTTTTTGGTTACATAGATTTAATTAATTGATAAAAGAAACGGGAATTGATTAGCATTTTCATCCGAACATCACCTATCTGCACAGCTAAAAATCCTTCATTCAATCTGCTTCTTTACAATCTCTATTTGCTAAAGTTGGTAAAATTTGCAAAGGCATCTTGCTTGGGTTGCACAGTTCCAGAAGTCATGGCTATATTGGGCATACCCATTCCCATCGTGCCTGAGAGGCCCATCCCAGGAGAAGGCATCCCTATGTTCATGTTCATGCCCATCATGCTCTGGTTCATCATCGGAGTATTTCCAAGAGGAGCCATTCCCATGGTGCCAGTCATCACATTGGGCATGCTCACAGGCATGGGTCCCCCCATTAAAGGGCTAGTTTGGGGCCGGACAGGAAGCATATTTGATGGAGAACTGAGGTTCACAGCTCCAAAACTCTGTGTCATCACATTCATAGGCTGCTGCATATCTACACCAGGAGAAAATTGACAAAAGAACCATATCAAACTGAGTATTTAGACTCACACTGCAGTAAAATAATCTTGACCATCAATAGCTTCTAATATAATTAAAATTCCTTTATAGTTATTTATAAGTCAATTAATTTGCATATACTATGCAAATATTCAATAATTGTTGGCCTTTGTTTCACAGAGCAATGCAGACAGAATCAGAAGTACAAAAAATTTATATACAAAATCATAGAGTTACGGTTAACAGCAAAAGTTGTAAACAATTTAAAGAAGCAATAATAGAAGAATAATACATTGTTCTGATGGAATACTCTAAGGATTTTAAGTTCATTTCTCCCTAATATTAAAGAAAAAAAATTTAATATTGAATTAAATCACCAAGAAGTAAATAATATTGACAGAATTATTTAAAATAGGATTTACAGAAAATGTAGACATAATGATTTCACAATACATTGTGGTATTCAGATATTTTTGTGTAGTTTTTCTTCCCCTCTTCATTTTTGCTTAAAAAAAAATTCAACAAATATTTTACTTTACAAGTCTCCATGACACAGTTAAGTACTAACATGCCAACAGCAAAATACAGAATGATCTTAAGTGAACATAATCAAGCTCACTGAAGTTGATGTTGTGTACTTTTTCTTCATGATGTGAAATAGTCCTGGCATCAGGGCAAGAGATTACAACTACACAGAGAAATGAGATGTCATGCAGTAACTTACTCTGTTGTTGAATCATTGTATTGAGTGACGGCTGCTGGGGTTTGGAAGGCTGCATACCAGGTAGTAAGTTGTCTAGGCTGATGTTTACACTGGGGTCAGACCAAGTGGAGGGCAGGTTTTTGCTGACTGATTTCTGGACCATATCTGTATTCTGATTATAGAGAGGATTAGGCTTCTGCAGCACTGTGCTAACATTTTGCAAAGGCTGGAAAATAGAAAAACACTCTAAAAATTAAGCATCTCTTCATGTTATCAGGTTATAAAGATTATCAGATGGCAAATGAATCAAAATAATGACAAATATGTTTGTTGTTGTTGTTATGTGCCATCGAGTCATTTGCGACTCATAGCGACCCTATATGTATAACAGCCCTAAACCCTGCTCTATCCTGTGCCAACTACATTGCCTGACACACCCATCCCGATTACCCCAGTCACTGAACCAATCCACCTCATAGAGGGGCTTCCCCTCCTGTGCTGTCCCTCTACTCTACCCAGCATGATGTCCCTCTCTAAAGACCTGTCTCTCCTTACAACATGTCCAAAGTTGTCAGGCGAAGCCCCAGAATCCTTGCCTCCAAGGAGCAGCCTGGTTTAATCCTCTCTACGATGAATCTGTTTGTTTTCTTGGCAGTCCATGGTACATTCAATACTCTTCTCCAGCACCACAGCTCAAAGGCATCAGTTCTCCTTCTATCCTCCCTAGTCATTGTCCAGCTCTCTGATGCATAACAAATGATTGCAGAGACCATGGCCTGTATCAGGTGCACCTTCGTCTCCAAAGAGACAAATATATACCATACTTTATAATAAACTTCTGAGACCTATGGCATTATGTCAATGTCTTCAATACCCTGAATAACTAGCTTCCCAACAAAGATCTCTAAAGTCCAAACCACACTGGGATGAGGAAAAACTTTTAATATATCAACACTATCATTTATCCTTCCATTACCCATGTCTACAAGGCACCATTTCTGGTTTATCCTTTGTTAATGGCAAATGTTACTCTTTGTACTTATTAATAAAATCATGACTTGGTTTTTGACCATAATTATGCAAAGTTACAAAGAATGCCTGATGGCAACTACCAACTTTAGGTTGGGACATCTTTAATTAGATAAAAAAGTGGAAATTTATTCTTACAAATAAAAAGTCAGGATTTCTCATGTTCTAAAAGGCAAAATCAACACATAGCAAATTAAATCTTCTATGTCCCAATTAATAGTATCCTATTCTGTGTACATACCTACTGCGTAAAGAAGTAACACTAGTGGAACTTGATGTGTACAGACCAACTTGGCTGAAAGGGAAATTTAGGAGAAATAAACAAAGGTGCCTGTGGATAACCAAAACAGGCTGAAAAAGGGAAAACAGAAAGTTGATAATGTAGCAGAGCAAAGGACTGCCATTTAGGTGCATTTAATACCACAAATAAAGTTGACTAGATTTTGCTTAGGGATCGTGAAAGGCATTCAAAGAATAAACTGGATTGTTGTGATGCAAAGTTAAAATTATCGGTATGGAGAATATGTCTTTTATCTTAACGTAGGATTTAAACAGTCACCTTTCCAAATCTTTTCACTCTTCCTTCATCCTAACATCCAAAGAAGAAGAATCTACATATTAAATCTGTAATGAGCATCATATACATCAGATACAAAGCTGTTATGTATCATCAAGTCAAATATGGCTACAAATTACCTCTGAACAGCAGGATCCAAACCCTGTCCTGTCCTGTGCCATCCTCATCATCTTTGACATACTTGAGCCCATAGCTTTACTCACTGTATCAATTTCATTTACTGACCTTTCAAGTATGATGTCACTTTCTAAGAATCAGTCCCTTCTAACAACATCCTCTAAGTATATGAGACAAAGCTTCACCATACTTATTGCTAAGAAGAACTATGGTTTCATTTTTTCCCCCAAGACACATCTGTTTGTTCCTTTGGCAGTCTGTGTGATATTTGGTACTCTGCTCCAATACAACTCAAAGACATCAAGTCTTTTGTCACCCACTGTCCAGCTCCCAGATGCATAGCAAGAGACTGAAAAGACATACTTTTAATCTTCAAATCGACATCACTGCTCCACAGTACTTACTCTTAGTGGTGGTGGTGGTGAGTACCACCAGGTCAGAAATGACTCAGAGCTGACCCCACGTGTTAAAGAACTGCTGCTCTGTGTTTTCTTGCTTGTCATCTCTTTCAGATTTTCACTTGTTGTTGTAACACTGAGGTACCACTGAGTCAGAACCAACCCAGAGCTAACCTTCCAGCAGGTTTTCAGAGGCAATAAATCGTACATGAGGAGACTGCCCATCTTTCTACCACAGGGCAGCTGGTGGATTTGAGTCACATACCTTTAGGCTGGCAGTGCAATTTCTTAGCACTGAGCAACCAGATCAAAATCTGGTCCCCATCATGACAGAGAGAAGTTTGAAGGTGTCAACAATTTCATCTTACTTGGATCCACAATCCATACCCTTGGTACTAGCAGTCAGTAAATCAAGAGATGTATTATGTATTGCACTGGGAAGTTCTGTGGTCAGGGATCTCTCCAAATTATTGAGAAGAACCGATGTCAGTTTTAGACCTAAGGTGCATCTGATTTAGGCCCTGATATTTCTGATCACTTACTATCCATCTGAGAGCTGAACAATGAATAAGGATGACCGAAGAATAATTGCTGTCTTTGAGCTGTGGTGCTGGAAAAAAAGAATACTGCAGGGACTGCCAAGAGAACAAATATTTCTTGCAGAAAGTGCAGCTGGAGTGTTTCTTGGAGGCAAATATGATAAAGCTTCATTTCACATACTTTGGTCATATTTCTAGGATAAGCTAGTCCCTAGAAAGGGACATCATGCTTGGAAAGGCAGAGGGTCAGAGAAAGAACAGAAGAACCTCAACCACATGGACTGACACCACAGTGACTGCTGCAATCGGCTCTAGCATGTCAGGAAGTGTGAAAGTGGCACAGGATAGAACAGGGTTCAGATCTGTTATTCATAGGGTCGCTTTGGATTGTACTCGAGAGCACCTAATAACAACAATATACTAAAATCCCTTTATTCTCAATAGTAGGAGTCAAAAGGCAGAACATTCCTGACACAATTCAGACATACATATTTTAATAATACATTTATTCAAATCATAAGCTATCAAGGATTTTATTACTTCAGATTTAACTATTATAAAAGTTAATGAAATGCTTTCATTTTAGTTTTCCCTAGCAAAATGAATGAGTCAAAAAAGTCAGCTATATACCATTCATGTGAGGTAAACCAAGTTCACAACACGGAAACATTTACCAATAAATGTAAGATTTTCTAAACTAGCAGTGACTATTTGCAGTAAGATGAGGCTTCTTTAAGAACATGACCAGATATTTTGTAGAGGGAATGCTTGTCATGAGTGAAGCAGTGTTTCTATTGTTAATAATAACAGCAAATTAATGAACAAATAAATAGATTCCAATCTGCTTTAATTTAATAAATTTCCAACACGAGCCACCTCAGCAAAAGGCACCATGTTCGGATATGACGGTCTAAGATGGGTGAGAAGGCCTTGCTCCTCGGAAGCCAAATGACTACTCTAGAGAAGAGAAAAGGTTTTCTTATTTCTCAGCTGTATGCAAATTTACTATTAGTTAGAATACCTCACAAGATTATCAATCAAAATTTCCAAGCAATGTGGGCAGCTTACCTGTGACCTTGACATGGGCAAACCAAGCCCTACTGTATTAGTGCTCATCATGGAGAAATTCATACTCTGGGAAGATGTCATAGTAGTTTGGGATGAGCCCATAAAATCAAATAGGTCTGAAGAATTTGAGGCAGGAGGAGGTGGGGCTAATGTTGGCTGTGAGCCACTGAATAGTTCTAGAGCTGGCTGTGAGGCACTGCCAAAGAGCTCGCCACTGGAAGCAACAGGGCCTGACTGGGCTTGGTTGAAGGCACTCCAGTCACCAAAGTCTCCATTCCCACTTGTTCCTGCGGAAGAAAAAATTAGACGGATAAGAGACTTTCAGAAATGCACAAAATAAATGTAACAATCTATGAACCGAAACAAATTAGACCTGATCTGTGTCCATCCAGATTAACATCTGCAGGTACCTTCTCCATCTGGGCATTATTCTTTCTTATGAATATTCTACGAGTGTTAACAAGGTGTCAAAGGAAAAAAAACCCAAACAAAAAATCAACCCACCAAAACAAAAAACCCCACACCAACTCCAACCAAACCCAAAACTTCCATATACAAAGTAAAATCCACCCCTTGATAGGTCTGTAGTTTACACTTAGAAGTTACAATCAAAACTTCCCTTCAATCAAATATGCACATAAAACACACTCCAACTAAAGAGTTATGATCTAGCTTGGGACTCAGAAACAGAAACGCATCATAGCACATTCATGTCTTGCAAAGGTGCAAAGAGAAATCAAACTATAACTTAAATGGCTTCAAATTGTAAAAACAAGAATCCACAAACTCAGAAAATGAAAGATAATCCAGAAAAATGTAGAAGAGGGAAAGCTTAACAATAGAGGTGTTATAGCCAACATGGTATGCAACTGTGCACAAGTTATTTAAACACACTGCCTCATTTAACTAAGTGTGAGAACTCAATAAATTTAATATATATCATAAAAGTTATTTGGTGTAGTCCTGCAGGGCACTACACTGCTAATTCAAAGATGGAGACTTTCTGGCAGTTCGAACCCACCAGCAGCTCTGTGGGAGAAAGATGCGCAATCTCCTCTTCTACAATTTACAGCCTCCAAAAACAAAGAACATGCTGGTGGGTCGGTCAGCTCTAAGTCGGTTCCAACTTGAAGTCACTTGCTTTTCTTTTGTCTTCTTCACTGTTACTTTAAGGAACCTTGAGAGGGTAATGCCCCAAGAGTTGCACTGCTAATGAAAAGGCCAGTGGTTCAAACGCACAAGCCATTCCTAGGAAGAAAGATACAGTTTCCTCACATAAATATTTACAGTTGTCAGAAACGGGATAGAAGGTTTTAACGAGTTAGAACTGCCTCAATGCAGAGAGCTTTGTCTTGGATTTCTACTAGGGGAGGCCTGGTGATGCAAAAGTGCATTTGGCTACTAACCAAAAGGCTAGTGTTTCTCCATGGGAAAGAGATGTGCCAGTCATGTTTACAGTCTTGGAAACATGATGGGAAGTTCTACTCTTGTCCTGTAAGGCTGCTATTAGTTGGAATCTACTTGATGGCTACGGTTACTGCTATTACTGTTTGCTGTTATGTGCCACTGAGTTGCAAACTGCTCACAGCTGACCCTCCAATAGGTTTTCAGAGGCTGTAAGCTGCATGCGAGGAAACTGTCCTTCTTTCGCCTGTGGAACAGCTGCTGTACTAATTTGAACTGCCTGCCTCTGGGTTGGCAGAGCAACTCTTTACATTAGGCAAAGCACTACATCCTTTTTTGGGGTACATCTTATAAAAGTGTTAGTCAAGCGGCTCTAAATGCTGTATATACACATTAACTATTTATATCATAATGAGAACAAAGATAAGGGAAACATTTAAAAATTTTTAAGTAGAACTTTAAAGAATCCAGTAAATCTTTAAGAAGGGAACTAGTATTTAACAGAAGTTAAGAAGCAAAGCTGAAGGAGCTCTATAAACTATCATTTGAACGGGAGTATTATCTATTTTAAGTTAGGGTAGATCTCATTGTATTCCATGTTCACTTATAACTTGAAAATGGATTTTCTTCTGCTTCAAAAGTAAACCGACTATTGCAAAATGTGTTGATTATGCTAAGTCTCAAAAACAAGTAGTAAACTTTAAAATGATATTATTCTATTATCATATTAAAATGTAAATATCCTCAAAAGAAGTAACTTAGACACTCTTGGTTCTACCAACAAATTGATACAAGAACTCGGCTAACATTCACTACTTCAGGGTTTACTAAAACATGGCTGATCTTTTTTTACAAGTAACTGCCTTAAGATTTTTTCAATTATTCTGGCTATTAAACAACTGAAATCTAAGTAAAGCTGTGGTGTAAAGGTAAACCTTATATTGGCTTTCTATTTGCTTGAGCTATAAAAGAGAAAACAAATGGAAACAGGGACAAAATGTGTTGCCCATGTGAAACTTTATCTGAGATGATTAAATATGGAGGATGAGATTTCTGGTAGGGCATACTGTTTAGAAATGATTAATCATGATAGCAACAGTTTCAGCCCCTTGCTTTAGAATGATCAGATTATATTAGTAACATGCATAGATTAAGTGGCTCACCACTTTAAGCATCACTGATGTATCTGAAATATCTGCATAGTTGGAAACTACATCCATAAAAATTAAAACTACATAGGGAGACTATAAAATTGGGGCAATGTTTATTTTCTATTTTGATTTGCCTAAAGCAAGGTATTAACCCTTAGAAGGTATAATCACACTTCCAAAATGAAGCAGTTAATTAGCATTTCTAGTTTCTTGAAAATACTTGGAATTTATACAGTAAGTAGGCTGCTAAAATAACCATTCTATTTATAATGTGCATCTTGCTTAACTCTTCAGTTTCACAGCAATAAATAATGCTGCTTAAATCCATATTCTACTTAGATGGTGGTTATTATTCCCAATCTCAGAAAGAATGAGCCATCATAGCCTGTGGTTCAACTACTCATTATTTTAGGAGGTCAAAGGAAGCTTAGTAATTTTTCAAATAATGCTCAAATAATCTAAACTACAAAGGAGTAAATTTTAATATGATATTCTATATAATTCCAATATAACTGAGTTTCAGTTATGAAAATTTTATAAACTATAATATTCTTGCCACGAAAATGAAGTTATTGATATTTATTCATACATGATTTCTTCTCCCCACCCAAAATTAAAAAGCAATACAAGAATCACTTATGAGTAAGGGTAATAATTATCTTTCTGTGTACCTGAGTAGTCTGCAACCACTTGGTAAATTCAAGGTATTAACCGAATAAAATACTCCGTGAATAAACTCCTCAGGAATTAGAAACACTTTAAGAAGAGAAGGGAAAAAAAGCTCTTTTAGGGGAAGAGAAGAGCTCCTAGATTTTTGGCCAGTAAAATTGTAGCATACCTTGGGAAGGCAAACTGCCTGACGCAACAGCTGAGCCAAAGTCAGCAAATCCGCCAAACAAATCAGCTGATCCTCCTAGAAATTATGTATGAGAGAAATATTTAGCTTTTGGAATCAAAGAACAACTCACAGCAATTTCAGGAAGCCATTTTAGTGTCTCACTGAGTTGGTTCCAACACAAGGGCAATGAGTTATATACACAAGCATATTTTTAAAATGCGAGTTGGGTAGGTAAGAGGTAAATGCTAACCAGCAAATTTAAAAAGAGTAACAGAATTAGAAAATCACCACTTTGTAAGAATCTTCAGAAAATCTAGGTAAAACACTGTCTGGGAATAAAACATTCACATAACCTCAAAATGTCACTCCACCAATTACAAATTACAAGAGATAAAAGGTTAGTTTTATAACAAAAAGATCTTATGGCTACTACCTTAAACAAGTGATCAAGTTTCATACCAGTAAAATCAGACAAAATGGTACCATGGGTTTTCTGACTGTGAAGGCCTAAAAACGGCAACTTCACTCCTGTAGAATTCCTGACAAAAGTATTTTACCCTGAATTTAACATGAGAAATTAATTGAACACATACAAATTGAGGAACATTCTGCAAAATAACTCTCTGGGACCATAGCTGACATCCAAGCAGATATATGCACTCCCATGTTTATTGCAGCTTTGTTCACAATAGCAAGGAGTTGGAAACAACCTAAGTGCCCATCAACAAACGAATGGCTAGAGAAGCTGTGGTATATTCACACAATGGAATACTATGCTGCACTAAAAAACAAGGAACTCATGCAATATTATTCAAAATGGTTGACTCTGGAGAACATTATGCTGAGTGAAATATCCCAGTCACAAAAGGACAAATATTACATGATGCCACTGTTGTAGAATGGGACTAACCTCAGGGTTGGGGAGAGATTGAATAAGATGTGTTCAATAATGTATACTGCACTGAAACAGAGGAGGGAGAAAACTGTGTAAAAGAGATATGTGACTAGGTATTTCTGTCATCACAGGAGTCTAGAGCGAGGGCTACACGGTGGAGGGGACCTGGGGGAGGGTTTGTAAAACAATGAAAGAATCTTTTCTTTTACTTTTCCATAATTTTTGACTCATGTACTTATAACTTGTTAGTTAAATTTGTGCCTTCTAGGTTGCAACCCCCCCATGATACATCTTCAGGGATATGAACATGTACGGCTAAGCACAATTAATAACAGTCCATCTAAATTCCAAAATCAATCTCCATAATAGTCTATGTGTTTCCTACTGCCAAAGGGGCCCTTTAGAGTAGTGAGAGAAGATCTTCACCCTGAAACCCACAGCGTCCCTTTTCAGCAGGAAGTAGCTAGGAGAATACGCCATCCCCTTTTCCTTATGAATCAGGGTGAAGTCTCTCTCAGGGAGGAGTGATAGGGAATGGCAAAGGACACACCGACAAAGGAGATTAATCAGAACTGACTTTGACAAGCACTGTGGCAATTGGACAATTAAAACAGACATTCGGATGGTGGGGAAGAAGAACAAACTGGGGAGGAGGGTAGAGAGAATGGTGCAGCAATGAAGGAATGAAAACCCAAAATCCCTGTAAATGTTCATTAAAACTAATAAAATTTAATAAAAAAAATAACTCTCTGGACTCTTCAGAAAATATTGACACTGCAAAAAATATGAGTGGAGACTGCTCTAGATTAAATATTAAGGAGATACGATAAGCAAATGAAGTATGTGAACTTGAATTGAGCCTATGAGTTTTAGAATATGCTATGCTGAAATGGCATAAGTGAAACAATACAGGAAATTTAAATTTAGATTGAATACTGGACAATAATATTGTTTTCATGTTAATTTTCCCAAGTATGTTAATTATATATGAAAATGATCATGTTCTACAGAGATTTATGTGGAAGAATTTTGAGGGCCATTAAGTTTGCAATTTCCTATTAAATAGCACAGAGCAAGCAAACATGCACACACAAGTGCATTGAGACACGAGAGAAAAGTGGGCAAACATTCTTTAAGTCTGATATAAAACAGGCAAAAACTTAAAATTGTTATGTAAAAAATCAGTTTTAATAGACATACGGAGAAAAATCACTGTAATGATTCTGGTGAACTTTTTCCTTTTGCTTGATCCAAAAATCAGCAAAAAATTATATTTTTAATACACAGAAAAACCAGTTTTTTGCTACTATCAACTGACTTTTTAAAGAAAAGTGATAGTGAAATCACAAGTATTCAAATCAATGTGTGTGCCTAATATCACATCCTTATACAATATTCATTTGTAAACAAAAAATATTTTATAAACCTTTATTTATATCAACAATTGGATAATAACACTCCAAGTTTTAAAACTATTTCCCTAAAATTCAGCTATCATCTCAATGACGGCTGGACTTACACATTTAAATAACAATCCTTATTTTTGTTTGTCCTCAAAGATTTCACCTCTTAAGGAGCCACAACCTTAGAAGTCTAGAGCAGCAGTCCAATTATGGTGCTTTTAGTGTTATGCGAACATTATATAGGTTACATCACAGCTGCTTAGCCTGCAGTGCTTAGAAACTAGCCAGGTGGGACTGAAACATCTGGGCTGCACTCAAACACCACCAGGGACAATTTCCAACATCTGGTGCCATTTCTGAATTGTCTTATCACTGCAAGACATTCTGCCCCATCTGCTACACTCAACTGGGTTATTTAAACTAGAACCATCTCTTCTTCTTAATAAATGCCCAGCAGTAATAAAAGAACAAATCAGTTTCTGATATGTGTGTAGCTGGTATTTCTTTTAAAGCAAATTTACTGTATCAAACTATTGGCAGAAAGAACAAATTCCTCATTATTTCATTACTGATACAGACATATATATCTATATAGATATAGATATATAGATATATATGTAGAGATAAATATGTAGATATAAATATATATATACACATATACACACGCACACACATACATACATACATATATATATCACTTACCAGTATTAAACTAAGTTCCACCAAGGCCAAGGTCTTCAGCTCCTATTGGTACTACCATTTAGACATCTATCTTACTTTATCCAAAGGATAATATTATAGTGCTTCAGCTATTTTTTTTTAAGTACATACATATGAGTTACATTTTAAAACTATATAAATAAGTATCTACATTTAACAAAAACTAGCTGTGAAATGAATGCTGCAAACAGACGCTGGGTAATAATATTCTATTTGCTTTATGTAGTTTTCTTTTATATTTATTAAGTATTCTCTTTAGTAACAGAATAATAGTTACAATCCTTTATTGTAACACTAAGATATTTAAAAATTGAGGATTACTTTAATGTGTATCATCTTTACTGAGATTAAAAATCATTGTCATTCATTATGCCGAATCTAAAACTTTTAAAATCTTATTAAATTAGGGCAAGAAAGAAAATTCATGTTGAGGATAAAAGCATTGATTATTAAAGATTATCATTTCAAACTGGGTGAAATAATTTGTCCTATCTTTTAGATAATCACCTACTCTACCTTCTACCATCCAAATGGAAATTTTATTACACAACTCTTTATTACAAATACATCTTGTCTCTTCTAGGAGGAGGGGCTGGCTACTTGTATCTACAAATATGATGTTTCTCATATCAGTGCCTCAAATTTAACGGAAGTTTTCCATACTTAAGTATTTCTCTAGATAACTCTTTTACATACAAAAACTGCTGCATGTTAAAAACTACTAAATTTCACAAGAGCTATCCTTCAAGATTCCCACATGAGAGCTGTCATTATAAATGAACCATTTCCATCTGCCTTTTTAAGGCAGCAAGGAGGTTATTTACAATCACCAGCTGGGAGCAAGTATTTTCCAAAGCAATGTCTCAAATAGGGGAAAATAATGGTATAATGCTTAAACTACAAGATGATTTTTTTCCCCTTCAACAATTTGACTTGGATTACATTAAAAAATATTTTTAAATAAAAAAAGTCTCTAAAAATGGAAGATAAAATGGACAAGTTTAAAAATACAACTTACAATAGGAAAAAAGGTTTAAACTCAACTGGAAATCAAACACATGCAAAAAGTAAAAAAGTACTTTCTCCTCACCAAACAAGCTTTTTTAAAAAGCTTTTTTTTTTTACATTATACATGAGAAAACGTGGCAAGCAGGGGCAACACCCAAAACAAAACAATGTTCAAAACTAAAGAGATTAAATATAGTATATCCTCACAGTGAAAGATTATAAAGCAGTGAAAATTTTTGCTAAAGAATACTATAAGGAAATGGTTGAGTTCTTAAGGGAAAAGCAGATAACCACTATTGTCTCCAATCTATAAGTCTGACAAAGACCTTTAATACAATAAATACTTAAACAAATGTATTGACTAAATGTATAAAAAAACGTTTTAAAAATATCACCAAAATTATAATAGTTAATTTCATGTAATGAAATAATAGTGAAATTATGGCATTTGTTTTCTACTAAATTTTTAAATGAATATACATTACTTTATTCTGAAAGAGAAAACACAGTAAAAAAAAAAAAGTATAGTTTTTGTAAGCATGACTTTAAATGAACTACCTTTTATACAGCCCTTTCCTCCAATTCCAATATGTGTTGGCATACTGAGGATGTAACAAGGGAGTTCATATCCATATTCTTAACAATTTTAGCTGTTAACTGTGTACAAGGCCAACAGGTTCAAATGTAAATGTAAGAAACTTGTTTTTTATAGATTTTAAATGGTCTTAATTTTTTTTTTTAACCAGAGGAAATTATAGAATTAAACACATTATAAATCATGGAAAGTAACTATACTGACAATGGTATTTTCTTCCAAAATAATCTACTGTGTTAGAAATATTTTATATATTGGTATCTTATTAACATTCCTTTTGGCAAGAATCAAGTAATTTGGATTTCTTTTTAAG